GCTTGTCTTGAAATCTGTTCTAGGCAGAAGCTGCCGAACCGTCTTATGGAAACGGATTACCTGGTCCTGCTAAAAGAGACCCCCAAGCATCAGGAGGCTCTCACAGCCAGTGTTCCCTCTAAGCTGAGTTAGTGTGAGCTAGCTCACAGTCTTTTAGCCTCCGGCTCACACATTTTTGCCTTAGCTCAGGAAGGATGGGGCTCCAGAGCAAACTAATTTATGCCGTAGCCAAATCGTTTGCTCACAACTTTAATGCCAGTAGCTCACAAAGTAGAATTTTTGCCCACGAGACTCCATGGCTTAGAGGGAACATTGCTCACAGCCTATCCCGGATCGGGGCCCTCGGCTGGAAACAGGCTGCTCATCCAGCTGCTTCTGTTTCTTCACTCGTGTAAACTGTTTATAACCTGATTCTAAATCCTTGGTAGGAATGCTTGGGGAAATGTGGGTTTTCGGATGTTCATTTCAGACCCATCAGAGAGCAGCAATGCTTTGCTTTCCACAATCTTTGCGTGAATAAACCCCCTTGGCATTCTGGCGCAAGCAGTCACGCAGAAACATCTTTTTAAAGAGCAGCTGGCGCTGGAATTGGGGCGAGAGAGATGCAATGGGAGGTTTGTGAGCTCGCCAGGAACTCAGACTCTGTAACTGTCCAGGCAGAATTGACAGTTCCGGGGCTGAAGTGGAATTCTCTCTCTCTCTCTTTCTCTCTCTCTCAGTTTTGGAACGGATAAGTTGGGCTGAGGCAAATGGACATCGATTTATGTGCTCATTGGCAGATCAGATGGGAAACTGTCTTTTGGTATAAGGAAAACCCCGCTCTGTATATTGGCATCAAAAGAAAAGGTGTCATTGGTACGTTTTTTAGTAGATAAATAAAAGAACAGAGCGGAGCGTGTCTAGAAAAGGGGCAGGGAAGGGGAGCATTGACGGCCCGCCTTTAGAAAGCAATACTAATACGAACGCGTTACTAGTTCTGAAGCGGAGACTTCGGCTCAGACCTGGGTGGAAGTTGAGGGTGACACGGATGATGCTGGGAAGACTGAAGAGAGGTACGGTTGGACAGTCCCCGTGGTCTCTTTCTGCTGGTATCAGGGGGCAGGGTGATGGCTTAGCTGCTGGAAGAGGTGGGGGTATTTCAGAACCAGAGGCTGCTCAGGTTGGAACTGGAGCCAGACCGGATTGTTTCCCGCTAAACGGTCACGGGAAAATTGAGAAGGCCACCAGAAGGACCCCTGAGTTGAAAACTGCACAGGGGGGTAATAAAAAGATCTCGAGCTAACCCATGTGAGCAGTAGAAATCTAGGCTAATTGGGGGAAATCCTCCCGACTCTCCAGACAATGTGATCTGAGATGCAGGGATCGGCGAGGCCTAGCTTTTCTCACCTCTGTAGCTCCCTTCCCCCATCTTAACGGGTGTACAGAAGCAAAGGTCTGTACATCGGTTGTGTCCCTTCCAGTGTTTCCTCTAAGCTGAGTGAGTGTGAGCTGGCTCACAGATTTTTAGCCCCTGGCTCACACATTTTTGCCTTCGCTCAGGAAGGAGGGCTCCAGAGCAAACTAATTTATGCAGTATGCGAATCGCTCGCTCACAACTTCAATGCCAGTAGCTCACAAAGTAGAATTTTTGCTCAAAAGACTCTGCAGCTTGTAGGGAACATTGGCTCCCTTCCCTTCTCCCCGTCCCGCATGGATGGGGAGAGAGATAGGGGGTCCAGAACCAAGAAAACGCGAGTGGCGAGAATGCAATTGCCCCATTTCCCCCTCTTGCCATATACAAGCTTCAGGAATAATGGGGTGATGGCAGCGAAATTAACTCACCTAGGGCAGGGAAATTAATTCGCCTAGGGCGTACCAGTGCAGCTCCCCCTAATTCTACAGTGGTCAATTATTACACGAGGGGGAAAAAGGGGAAGGGGGAAAAAACTGAACCTAAAACATAGAATCCAGAACCTGACAAAGGTTAGTCAAAGGTAAGACGGGGCCAAGATTAAAAACTTAATGAAGGAAATATATTAAAAATACATGTATTAATCCTCTAAAAGTGCAATCACATGCCAAGTGGTTCTCAGATATAAACTTCTGGTCCAGGAATCGCCTTCCTATGGTTGTAGAGCCAAATTGTCCTCAAGGATTGCTCTTTTAGAGGCCTCATTTAATTTGTACTCTGTGCCTGGTGGGTTATCTTGAAACAACTTGCTTCTGGTCCTTATTGAATTTATACTTTGTATTTACATGATTGTACTATATTTTTGGAGCTGCGGTGGCTCAAGTGGTTAAGACGCTGAACTGCAGGCTGTGGAAAGTAGTTCAGCAGTTCGAGACCCGAGTGCACCGCATGACGGAGTGAGCTCCCGTCTCTAGTTCCAGCTCCTGCCAACCTAGCAGTTCAACAGCAAAAAATTGCAAGTAGATAAATAGGTACCACTTCGGTGGGAAGGTAACAGCGTTCTGTGCGCCTTGGCGTTTAGTCATGCCAGCCACGTGACCACGGAAACGTCTTCAGACAGCGCTGGCTCTTCAGCTTTGAAACGGAGATGAGCACCGCACCCCTAGAGTCGGATTCGACTGGCTTTCGAGCAAGGGAACCTTTACCTTTTACTATATTTTTATAATAGCCAATATGTTCCTCACTCTTGACCTCTGAGGAAGGCCTATGTAGGCCGAAACACGTCAGGTCAGATTTATAAGCCCTTGTGTTTTATCGTTTGTCATTTGTACATAACGTGTGATTGGGCCCTTATATAATTTTAAAAATGGTGATTTAATAAATGCAGGTATTTTTTATATATTTCCTTCATTACGTTTTTAATATTGGCCCCCTGTCTTACATTTGACTAACCTTTGTCAGGTTCTCAATTATTACGCGAACCATGGCTTACGAAGCTTTGTTACATCAACAGGTTGCCCCCTGCAAGTGGCGCTTAAATGTACAGGCACTAGAGCAAGCGGGGATGGGAGGTGAGCAATGCTCACTGGAAGCATGAAGGGCGGGCAGCTCTATATCTGTCCTGCCAGTCACTCCAATAATATTCCAGCGCCGGGATAATACATGCCCCAGTCGCTTCAAGGGGGGTTATGTGCATCCAGACGCAGTGTTCCCTCTAAGCTGAGTTAGTGTGAGCTAGCTCACAGTTTTTTAACCTCCAGCTCAGTCCTATTTATCTTAGCTCAGGAAGGAGGGCTCCAGAAGAGCAAACTGATTTATGCAGCAGCCAGATCGCTCGCTCGCAACTTTAATGCCAGTCGCTCACAAAGTAGGATGGTTGCTCACAAGACTCCACAGCTTAGAGGGGACACGGATCCCGGTTCCGGATGCTCCGCCCTGGAGGCGTAGCTTTGGAGGACCACTTGAGTGCTGCGCCATGTTCCGAGAGTCACCCTCCGGCACCCTCGCGAATGTGGGGCCAGAGAAAGGACTTCTGAAAGCAGTTAAGCAAAAGTCGGGCCGACGGGTCCATATAGCATCTTTAGCAGCCAGGAGACGACGTTGGTCTGTGTACATCGAGTAAGGATGGAAAGGAGGATGCGAGGGAGAAATGGGATCAGTATGTAAGAGGATAGATCGAGGACGGTTTCAGGGAAGCAGATCCTCCGTCTCCTCCGGGCAGGAGCAGAACTCACAGCTTAAACCTGTGTCCCGGGTCAATGGAACCATGGATGGGGTACAAAGCCACACCAGCTGAACACTGGAACAGACAAGCCAAGCCTGGGTCGAGACTGCCGCCCGCAGTCCTGCCCGAGCCGAAGCAGAATCCAGAGTCTACCTTACCACAAGACGGAAGCAAGCGAGCATGCGAAGGCTGCGGGTTGTTCCGAAGAAGGGGTGTGTGTGTGTGGGGGGGGAAGGACCTCTTGTCCGTTAGCAAAATAATAAGGATCATCGCCATCATTTCCAAAACGTTAAAAAGGAAAAAAAAAAAAGACCAGGGAGGTGGACGGCTGTAGGCCGAGAGTCACGCAACCTCCTCCCTTGCTCAGTTGAGTTCATTAAATCCGTCTCCTGGGAAAGGTTGCTCCCCGGTCTGTTCTTCCGATGAAGACAGTCAACACAACTGCTTCGGGAGCTGCCACGGTCTCAACCTCCAAAGAGGCTCCAGAACAAGCGCCGAGGTTCTTCTTTCTTTCACAGCATTGGTCGGTTTGCTTATTCTTTTTTTTTTGTTTTAAATATATCCCTTTTATAAACACTTCACCATAGTGTCCCATTCTTGAACTTCAAAGGTGAATCCGACGCCTTAGATACTCCGTCCTCCTTCCAGGAAACCTCCAGTTTCTCAGGACATTCCCTTTCTTCGCCTTCCTGTCTCCAAAGTGAACGACGCTTACCGTTCCCAACTCCAAGCCCGACCGCTCAGAATCCATACCTGGGAAGGCCTCCAAGAGGGCCGTGGCCCCATATTCTTGCCTTACAACCCATCCCGACCGGATGGCCAAACAGGCAAACTCCTATCTGCCATGACGTGAGAGACGCCCGGGCGGAAACCGCTTTGAACCAGCACTGAGTGGTGACACCACACACCCAACAAATCTCCAATTCGCCATTATGATTTCTCACCCCCATTTTTCCCCCTCCTGTTCCCCTTTTCATTTGGTTTTGGTTCTTCGTTTGTGTGTGTGTGTGTGTGTTTTCTTTGTTTTGTTTTTTTTCAAAAATTAAAATTTCAGGACAGACCACCACAAGGAAGACGGGAGATGATGAAGGCATGGGGGTTTGACAAAACTCGAGGAGGGATTCTTCCATGTTTTCACTGCTATGGCGTACTGGATGTGAACGCACGTGCCGAAACAAACGACAAAAAGGTTCCGCGTGCGTCCCCTGTTCAAACAATCTAGATCTTCAGTTGTCGTTCAGTATGCATTGTGTTTTCCTGTCTCTGTGTGTGTGTGTTTGAAGTCACAGCATCTCTCCCGGAAAATAAATAAATAAATATATATATATTTATATATATTAAATGAATAAATAAAACCATGACTCTGATTGGTTGGTCAGTGCTGGGTTGGGATTGGAGCACAACGGCTCCAGAAGTCGGTCAGATTCTTCCGAGGAGCTGCTTATTCGATCACCATGCAGCGTGGCAGATGCTGGGAAAAATACTTGAAGAGCTCAGGGGTGGCCCCGGGACAATTCGTCAGCTCCAGCTCTTCCAGCTCTTGAAGCTGGACAAGGCCCGAGAGTCCAGTGGTCGTCAGCAGAGGACAGCCTGGAAAAACCAACAGAAACCCATGAACGGGAAAGAGCAACGGAGTCACGGAGTGCAAACTGAACATCAAAGAGGCCGGCAGGGCTCTTTTTGTAGAAAAAGCCCAGCAGGAACTCATTAGCATAACAGGCCACACCCAACAGCAGGAACTCATTACCATATTAGGCCACACCCCCGACAGCACGGCTCATTGGCATACTAGGCCACACCCCCATGTTACCAGAAGTGTGGTCATCCAGCCACACCCACCTTTTGCTTCTTATTCTGTTGACCTTGTTTGTTGTCAAAACCCAGGGCCTTTTTTTGTAGCAGGAACTCCTTTGCATGTTAGGCCACACACCCCTAATGTAGCCAGTCCTAATGAGTTCCTGCTTTTGGGTGTGGCCTATTATGCTAATGAGTTCCTGCTGGGCGTGGCCAACTCGGGAGCCAGCCGGAACGCTGTTCCTGTGCGTTCCTGCCCCAAAATAGCCCTGAAAGAGGGTAACGTTCAGGGGAAGGGCACATGCACACGGTCCCAGGCATCTCCATCTAAAACAGAGGTTCTCAACCTTCCTAATGCCGCGACCCTTTAATACAGTTCCTCATGTTGTGGTGACCCCCAACCATAAAATTATTTGCGTTGCTACTTCATAACTGTCATTTTGCGACTGTTATGAATCGTAATGTAAATATCTGATACGCAGGATTTGCCGAGACTTGGGAGCCCTATCCTAAGACCGTCGAAAATTTGTGATTTCCGATGGTCTTAGGCGACCCCTGTGAAAGGGTCGTTCGACCCCCAAAGAGGTCGCGACCCACAGGTTGAGAACCGCTGATCTAAAAGGATTTCGGGTCATGAGAAAAACTGCAACATTAAGAAACCTGCGACGGGGGCATTTTAATCTCAAACGTTTTTCTTGTGTGGCGTATTACCAATGTGCTCCTATGCTCACCTTGATCCAATCATACATACAAAGATAAGACACTGCCACTACTCTCGTTCTGGAATGAAGTTTAGACATTTTCTTTTGTTTCAACTGGAATGAACTTCTGGATTGACGCAGGAATACAACGGGGCGAAGCCCACCAATCTGTCTGATTTCGCAGATTCTAACGTTCGCCCAGCACCCTCCCATCACTGCTGTCCTGTGATTCCTACTGAGGCTGACTCCCTCTCAACCTCGTCCCATGAAAAAGGTTCCCTACGTTCCACTCTCACCAGCAAGAGACAAGAGCCGTAAACTTCTCATTCCCAGCAGGTGCTTCAGGCCAAAATCTTGAATCTGAAACAGCAGAAATGGAGAAACGGGGTAACTAAAACGCTGAGACAAATGTGTTATTGAGCTTAAGACCTTTGGTCACAGACGCTAATGAACATAAGAATGAGAGACAAATGTGCAATTACCAACACACTGCTAGTAAACTATGCTGCTGTCCCCTTACCCCAGTTTTATACCACTCACAGCTTTCCTCCAAGGAATCCTGGGAACTGTAGTTTGCAGTGTTCCCTCTAAGCTGAGTTAGTGTGAGCTAGTAAAGGTAAAGGTTCCCTTGCTCGAAAGCCAGTCGAATCCGACTCTAGGGTTGCGGTGCTCATCTCCGTTTCAAAGCCGAAGAGCCAGCGCTGTCCGAAGACGTTTCCGTG